CACCAGCTCTGAGCTCCTGGACGCACAAACAGACGTTCATTAGAACAGAGGCAAAATGAGTAGTCATGTCTCAACAACTAGGTAGCAAGGTAGAAAGGTAAGGCAAGGCAAACAAGTCAACTACATCCAGGACTGCTCCTTCCTTTCAAAGAAAAGAAGAAGAGTTGCCCTGGGTGGGTTCATACCCACGACATTCTGCAGTCTAGGCGAGCATTCTCCCAACTGAACTACCAGAGCAACTCAGCTGGTTGGGGTTCCACAAGAGGGGGGCAAAGCCCTGTGTTTGCTAAACTCCAGGGGGCAAGATATAATCACGGGGGCAAGGGGCCTTCCCCACCCCCGCCCCCCTCCAAAATGAACTCCTGAAAAGTATTGTAAAAATGGAAATAATCAGCCACAGGGCTCTTTTCGAAGTATAAGCAAAATGTACACAAGGGCAAGCCCACCTAGTCATCTAAATTTCTGTAAAGTCTGGTGATGGCGATGCTGCCACACAAGATAATGCAATAATCATGTAGAGCAGTTCAATGGTTGCACTCTGTGGACTTTCTCATCCAAAAACTTTGTACTAATGTTCATATTATGTAGCTCCCAGACTCTATGAAGACTATGCTTACTCATTACACCATCTATAATTTTCATTAATAGTGTATGCACATGGAGATTGATCAGATTTGAGACTTAGTCAGAGTCGGGAAAGATGAGTCTAGTCACGCACAACACTGGTAGCACCACACATATAAAGAGCAAATAGTGGGCTGTAAAGTATATACCTTACCTACCCCTCCACTGTAGCGACAATGAGTGGTTGCTCCATGTTCCTTGAACACACCACCTGAGTCACTGTCACTGGGTCCTATAGTATGTTCAAGTTGAGAATGCACTTTGCCATACATTGAAAAGGATTGTTTTTCTAATGTCACACAAAAACTATGCAATTGGCCAAACCAAGACTAAAGGAACGGGATCTTTAAGAGCTACTAAATGGCACCAAGAACAGTGCAATAGAGTGAAGTTACTCGAGAAAATCAATATGCATTCTCAACATGAATGGACTATCACTAAGTACTGTAGTACTTAGTAGGGATTGGCATGGTACCTAGCATCATAGATGTATGGGGCTATGATAGGGAGTTTTGTTCATCACCTAATACCATGGAGTACATTGAGGATGTCAGGATGGGGTTATCTACAACCCTATCTCAAGGTAAACCCCAAAGTGATTTACGTTGTATCAGACCACCTCATACCATCGTACCGCAGTGAAACGTACACAACGTATCACAACATGGTTAACCCCTCCATCCCTCAAACCCCAGTGATCCAATTAGGATGATCTCCCTTATGGCTGCTGTCCAGTAGCCTTTTACTGTTTCGGAAATTTGGTTGCAAACTCCCACTTTAGCAGATTGTTTACAAATGGTCCTCGCCCACAAAATTCACAGGAAAAACTAGAAGTTCACTCTCTAAAACAGTGAAATTCATGAACATTTCCCCTACCACCCACACCTGCACTCCCAATTGACACACTATGCAAGAGACCCACTACACCTGGTTTGCACTCCGTATGAAAGAGACTAACTTGTCCATCCTCAGAGAAGTGGTGGGTGTCCAGTAACCTCCCGTTCCTCCATTCCCAGCTCCTCACTGTTCCGTCCTACACAACAATAGTAAAACATATGTTAGACAGACCCAGAGACCGCCAACACACGTGTAATAAAGCAAAGCAGCTCATGTGTCAATAACAAGGTAGCAAGGCAAAGGCAAAGCAAACACACCCAGGATAGCTCTTACTTTTCCTTAACCCATGACAGGTCTTTTTTCAAAGGAAAAAGTCAAAGAAAAAGAAGAGCTGCCCTACGTAGGTGGGATTCAGCAAACCTTTCTCTCTATGAGGCACCTGGCGGCTTTCAGCGGTGAAGGAGAAATATGATAGTGAAAAACCAGCAGCACAATTCCATAACTAATCCCACGTTCCTTCCACAATGTATGGTAAGGGGAGTATTATACTTGACTCACCCCTGAAGCTGAAACAAGGAGGTGTGGCCACTTTTCACACAAGCAGAGACAGCTCACAAACCTGAAGATAAAAGTTTTGTCATTCTATTTTTCTCTCCTACGTAGACTTCCTCTTTCTCTCTATCTTTTCCTCCTTCATTCTCCCAAACTCCTCTTCATCCCTTCGATTTCTCTTTCCCTCCCTCCCTCCTTCCCTCTCTCCCCTCCCCTCCCTCCTTACCCCTCTTGACTCTCCCTTCTCCTTCCCTCCCTCGCCTCCCTCCCTCCCTCCCCTCCCTCCCCTCCCCATCCTGCCCCTCACCACTCACTCAGTGTGTCCCAGGCAGTAGGTCTCGATGTTGTAGCAGTTTGGATACCGACTCACACGTATCTTCTCGTCTCGATCACACGTGATCACATGACTGTCATGTGACACCATCACCTGACATAAACAAGAGCATGTGATATCCAAAACAAATCTCAAGGCAAATATCGTTACAATGTGTAGGTCTGACATATCTTTAGGCTTAGCTATGACCTCTCCATTGCACACCAAGTTTTGAACTCAAAATAATAATGCTCTTAGTTTCGTACCCAGACCCCACCCACTCATTATGTGGGAACAGGGTCTGGTAACTATTGACACGCATTCCTTTTGATCTTGAAATTGAGATCGGCCAATGAACGTCATGTACATCCGTAGTCCGCAGATTTGGTATATAGGCAGGGTTTTGGATGAAACACATATTATTAGAAGAGGGGTTCGAATACACTGCGCATTGCGTTGTGATAAATTCCGCAATAAAAACAACTCTGCCTCAGTAAACATAATTATGGTGCAGATATACCAGGGGTTTATACTTGTATGGGCATAAAGATAATTACCATGTCTAGTATCATAGACAGATGACCCATCATCTCCTCTCCATCACAACTGATGTCTGACAGACGATACCTACAACAATGATGTAACCACAACAGTAACGAAAGTAATTTCACATGACCTATATACGTATGTATCCCAATGATGTAATCACAGTAGCTAAGGCAACATGCAACGTGTGTACACATGACCTATGTATGTACGTATCCCACCACCTATAATTACTCTAAAGTTTCAATTGCAAATTGTCGTAATTTGGAACTTTCCATACAAGTCCTATAGTGTACACACAACGACATGCACAGCACATAGATCAAATTCTAAGAAGGGCAAGAGTGTTACAGAACTTTAGAGTTGCATACTAATAACAGAGTATATAATACAACGAGCGATTATAAGTTCAAACTGACCATTATTGTTTACTATGTGAAGTAGGTATAATGTGGTTTCATTGACGTACGTATCATGACGTCACGTGAAACTTACTCTACACGAGTGTATGATGTCTGCTGTACTAAATACATCTCACTCAAAATTCACTGCAGATATTCACAAAATGTAAACGTAACAAAATCTGCTCAAAAAACGTAAAAAACATCACAATTTGGGAAGTTTCCCCGCATATTATATACACACTCAGTGGTAGGTATTTACAGGCAAACCTAGTCACGGTTCCAGTTTTGTCAGCTGTCAGAAGATACTGCTCATCTTCAGAGATTTGCAGCGATGTCACCCTCTTAGCTACACTCCTACAAATATGTATGTACGTATATACGTCAGATGCAAGCAGGGGCAGAGTGGGGTTAAAAGATTTTGAAGTCAGTGAATATGAAAAATACTGCCGTAAGTATTTTTGGAGAATAAACACTAAACCAGTTTGGCTCAATTTATAGGACACTGTAACACTCCTCCCTCCCTCACCTCTCTCCCCTCACTCCACTCCTCCCTCCCTCATTCCACTCCTCACACTTCTCTCCCCTCACTCTCCTCCCTCCCTCACCTCTCTCCCCTCACTCCACTCCTCCCTCCTCACCACTCCTCACAGTTCCTCCCTCACTCTCCTCCCGCCTCACTCTCCCTCACTGCCACTCCTCCCTCACTCCACTCCTCACACTTCTCTCCCCTCACTCTCCTCCCTCCCTCACCTCTCTCCCCTCACCCTCCACTCCCCACTCTCCTCCCACACCACCAGTCGTTTCTCGCTGGTGACCACCGCCAGCAGTTGCCCCTGACGACTGGCTGTCATGGCAACCACAGACTCCCCACCCACAGCAGGAGTCTGAGCAGCATTCAGTGTCACAACACCAACGTCCTGTCCCTGGGTCTCCCTGCATACACAAGACACGAGACGAAATTCAATACAAGCTCACAAACACACGTACATCTAACATTACCGATCATTCTCCTCCGCAACAATCGTTACTTTAGTTGCACTTGACGTCGCAATAAACCTCTTTCCATCCGGAGCTTTACTGCAAACGCACACCAAAGCCATCGATCGTCCTCGGCCGCGGAAAGGACGCTTCGCAGCTCGGAAAACCGTTTTTCTCTAAATGATGCGCAGCAGTAGTGAACCCTGACCTCAAACAAAGACTGTTGGCGGGTCCAAGAGGGTGATGGAGGCGGCCACAGCTGGACAGAGGACTCCAGAGGACGCTTCTTCAGCGCCTATAACGGAGACCTATCGCTATTCCGTCTCTTCAAACCCGACACTAGAAGGTACAAGCCTGGCTCCCAGCATCTTGCTGTTTCTAAAACTCATGTCTTGATCCTACAGATCAGCTGTTTGAACTAGTGAGGCTGAGTGAGGTTCCAATGAGCAAGCAGCTGTTTGACGTGGTGAGACAAAAACAACTTAAAACTCTGCAAACTACCAAACTTTCATAGCCTTCACTTGTCCTTCAGCCTTAGAAACCCCCGTCCTTGATTTAACCTGTCAAAAGTCTCCTGCCTTATTGTATTCAGTGACCACCTTCAGAATAAATAAACCTCTCTATAATGGACTAATACATTTGTATTTTTTATAGTATGTCCGAATAAGTGACACCCTCTGAATAAAGGAGCCTATTTTAAAGGTGTCCCTTATTCGGAGCTGTTTCACTGTATGTATGTGTACTCAAAATGTTATCCATCTTATGAAATGCTGTGAAGGTCATGGAGCTACTGAGGCTGAACATCCCACCATCTGCCGTCCTCCATGTCATGAAGACACTCAGAGCACAGGCCACCCAGTCCACCATGCCTCCCTCCCTCCAGTCCAGCAGACCCCACTCCCCTCCACCCACCTCCTCCTCACAGGTATCATATACCACCGTGGAACCTCTGAAAAAGGACCCTCCGAATAAGGACACCTCGCAATAAGGAACGCTTGATTCTGCCCCTTACTAACACATCAGAGCCCACTCCCCTACACCCACCTCTTCACTGGTATACCACAGTGGAACCTCCGATAAGGGACCCTCCGAGGACGACCTCTCTACAAATGACACTTGTTTCAACCCCATGCTAATACTTTAGTGTATTATTTGACCTCCGAGATAGGGACAACCTCTCTACAAGGCCCCATAGTGTGACCCTACCTCTCTACAAAGGACACTTGTTTCAACCCCATGCTAATACTGTGTGTTGAACATTATTATTGGCGAGCGGGAGCAAGCTAGTGGGTGTTTGAACATGTGCCTGTACCAAATCAGTCCTCTGCTGGTGAAATCATTCGTTATACAGTGAAATCTCTCTGAGTGCCACCTTGGGGACATTTAAAGTTCCTCCATTCAGAGGAATTTGTATATAATACACTGGGTGTATGGGGCAGAACTGAGTGTCCTAGTATAGTGAGGTGTCCCTAAGTCCTTTTTAAGAGGTCTCTCTGTGTTACATACTGTACGTACAAGTTGTTGAGACATGCATATACTCGGTTTGGAGTTGGGCGTCTTTGGTGGTTTAATTACCCCGGTCTGCTCCTGCATACTGAGTGAGAGTGTACTGTGCCATAGCACAGTGGTTTGAGGTTTGTCTTGTGTTGTGTTGTGTTGTAGATTTGAACCCCTACCGACTTAGTTGCCCTGGTAACTCAGTTGGTAGAGCGCTCGCCTAGAAGACTGCAGAGTGTCGTGGGTTCAAATCCCACCCAGGGCAGCTCTTCTTCTTTTCTTTGAAAAGAAAGAGCTGTCCTGGGTGTAGTTGACTTGTTTGCCTTGCCTTGCCTTGCCACCTCGCTACCAAGTTGTTGAGACATGCTATAGCCTTTAAACTGGCAATTCATTTTTGAGTCAGGGACTGTTGAATGCAGGGGCCATGGTAGAAAATCGAAAATCATACATGTTTGGAGGTTTTAGAGCTGGGACTGTAGAATTTGCCAGTATCAAGTTATGGCTAGGTAGGAATTAGAAATATTTGCCAAATTTTCACTCTTGTTACAACCCAAACAATGGGCAGTCTCTCCACCTTGTAGTTACATACCTCATATTACACTCCCATATACACTCCCCTTGGCCCACACATACTCTATCTAGTAGTGTATCGAAGTATGGCCATGTATACATAGCCATCTTGGTTGCCCTCTAACAGTGTAATTGGCCAGGAGTTTTGTCCCTCCAAACACTGTAACTAGTGGGATGTTCTCTATACTGTCTCACTACTGTGTCATGTGCTCCATACTGGTTCTTACAGTTTCCTCTGTTACTGTAAACTGGCTCTCAGTATGTTGTACACTAAACTAGATGCCACAACATTTTTAGTGAGTGATGAGAGCAGTTAGATTTTTATTTAGAGTGAGCAGTTCCTGCAATAGGCAGGCCAAGTCATCACTCACAAACACCAGCAACAAATGTGACCTATGGAAAATTCAATTCCACTAATGCAGCTTGGCTCAGCTGCTGCAGCTGGCCAGGCTAAACTACAAAGTGCTCTGTGTTTTACTCACAAGATGCACTACGACAATTACTGGTTGGTAGTAACTGACGTGTGTGTAGCTAAGTTGTACGATTGTAATGTAGGCTCTGTAAGAGGATAGGTTGGCAATAGAGTTGGGAGTTGCTAGGGAAACGAATGAGTGTCACAGACTTTTGAAAAATGCTGCAGGACTAGGTAAAATACAAACAATTTTGTGAGGAAGCTGGTTGTTGGAAAACAGAAAAATTTTGGGTGCTGGTACAAATGTATGTATAATACCCCTGCTGTGCTCTATGGATGGGTCCTACACCACACCAGTGTCAATTTTTGCAGAGGGGTGAGAAAAATGGTGCTAGATGTAACACCTCTTCTTACCCATCTCTCCTCCCTCCCTCCCTCCCTCCCTCCCTCCATCTCTTGCTATCTTTCTCTCTCCCCAGTCAAGTTCCACTGCTAGTAGATCACACGGAGAGGCTGCTGCTAGCAAACCAACTCAGCGGAGATCCCAAACTTCGTCAGCCTCAAAATCATCAGCCTCCTCACTACACTCAGGGGGGGACAAGTCCAGTCGCAAGCATCACCCATCTTCTACTCATAAATCATCATCTTCTAGAAGTGCAGGTAGTTTAATCAACAACAATGACATCAGCCATTGCGCCATTGCACTAAGGCCATACACATGCCCGCAGCGCACTGGGTGGACCCAACAAGGAATGTCTGTCTCATGTAGTACCTCCCTAACACCTCAACTTATCAAGGCCCCAGCATCCCCTCCCGGTTCCCCAAATAAGTTCGTAGACATGGATCAGGTAGTCTCATCATTGTAGTATGAGTCTCTCCTAAGACTGTAGCTTCTTTCACTCCTCCTTCATGGGAGTCAATGAAGTCATTCACCAATATATGTAGTTCAGGAGTGAATATATAGTAGAGTGCAAATGAAGCCTCCTTTACTCCTGCTACTGTTTTCTTTTGTAACTGCAGAGAAGCTGAGAGGTTCGGTAAAAGGAGGATCTGGCAAGAGCAAAGGACAAACGCAGGACAAAGTAGGATAGCTAGCTAGCCTCATAATTATTGCGCGCGCGCTGAACCGGAAGTTAATTACACACGAGTTATGAATACAATTATCGCGAGTGATAAGTGCTAGATTACATCGTAATGATCATTTTCAAAGCCATCAACGTCACCATAAGTACACAGCTGAAGCTTTTTTAGTAGTAGCAGAGTCGAGCCAGTAGAGATGACAACTGCACAGCCGAGAGGCGTCCAACCCGCCAGGCGAATCAGCCTGAGGAGAAAGACAGGTAGCTTCAAGATACGGCGGATGGGCGACATCGTGGTGTGCGAAGTGTGCGGACAAGGCCACCAGCCGGGCCAGAACCATCTCTACGACTACCCTGACAACATAGACGAGGACCTCCTGTGTCAGGTGTGCCGCCAGCCCCTGGTTGACCCGGTGGATACCCCATGCGCCCACACCTTCTGCGGAGTTTGTCTCCGCTCTCACATGCGCATGCAGAAGACGTGTCCTTCGGACGGGGTCCAGTTGCACCGAGACACCGACGTACGGCGCTCCTCGACGCTTGTGAGAAACATTCTGGACAAGTTAACCGTGGTGTGCCCAAACAACGCCTACTGCGACCAGTTCATGCCGCGGCACGCGCTCGAGAGTCACCTCCGCTACCACTGCCACGGTACCTACGTCTCCTGCCCGCGGGATGAGAGCGAGTGCCAGTTCGTCGGTCCTCGGAGTCAGCTGGAGGAGCACCTCTGGACCTGCAGCCATGGCACCGACGTAGACCCGAAGAGTAAGTTACTGTACTACAACTAGATAGCTATTCATTTGCCAAAGGTTGGAGAGTGAGGGGGAGGGGCATTTGACCAAGTTGCAAAATTTTGGTGCATCTCTGTCGACTTGTACTTTTCGAAGTATCATTCATGTCAGTCATACAGCCATAGCGTAGAACATACGAAACCTAAAACGTAGAAAGTTGAAACCTATACATGGTGTGACTGAGGACTTATTGGCAGTAGTCTGCCGTCAAAGTGGCTCATTTCGTGCTTACCTCTGTATAGCTAATTCCCCACACTGTGTGACCAATGTATGGCTTTACCTCTGCACCACACTGTGTGACTTTAGCTCTGCAGCTAATTCCCCACACCGTGTGACTACCTCTGCAGCTAATTCCCCACACTGTATGCTTTAGCTCTGCAGCTAATTCCCCACACTGTGTGACAGTGTATGGCTCTGCAGCTAATGTCAGTGTATGTGTGTGTGTTTGTGAGGTTTGTGTTTCAGCATTCAATGCTTCAGTGATTGATTGAATGCTCTAGCTCTGCACACTGTGAGTGAAAGAAAAATTGGGTTACTATTGTGTGTGGCCCTCAGGCTGTTTGGGGGGAGATTCATGAGACATGTTTTGTTTTGTGTTCCTATAGTGGAACTGTTAAGTCTACAACTGGCAAAATGGTTGTGGCTTTAGCAATAAAGGACAGTTGGTCAAAACACTACGTTTTTTTACAACATAAACTAATGTCTGGGTGTGCAATAGTTGCAACGAAATTCACCCAAAATAGTATACTTACGGGGGTCCAACTGAGGTCTAAAAATAGGGATTGAGTGGTTGAAATAGATACCAGAAAAGGTCATGCTCCAATTAATGCAATGTAACACTTCACACCTCTGAGCACTTCCGTCATAATGTATTATAGCTTACAAGAATGTTTGGACGGGCATTGATATCACCCCGTGGTATGCAAATCTTCTTGCGTCAGTCACAAAAATTTACTGATGCAAGCAGTAAAGTATTATGCCTCGAGTGGCGTATCTTAGCGTTAGGAATTCACTTTACCATTAGATTAGGAATTCACTTTACCATTAGGTTAGGGATTCACTTTACCATTAGGTGTATGATAGGGAGTTACTTTACTCCACCAATGGAAGTAATCTCATCCAGTGGTATAGTGCAGAATAGCAAAGACTGTTGAAAAAATCAACCAGCATTCCCATTCAGCTTGAGATAGACATAGGGGCTAAATTCATTAAGTGGGGGGCTCACCCCCACTAGGCCATTCACCACTGCCCTGGGGCAAGTTTACTTTGTTTAATTGCCAACAGCCTGCATTTCCATTTTGTGGAAGATGCTTATCTTATTGTGCATTCATACCCTTTGTCTCTGCCTAAACCCATGTCTTCCTCTGTGTTGGGCCTAAGCACACAGTGGCTATAGACCTCCACCTAGCTACCGAGATATCCCACTGTGTGTTCTGGGAGGCAGGAATATGGCCTGATGTGTGGGTGTTGAAGGGCACAAAGAGACAGGCTACTGTGATGCAATATAATTAATACTGAGCCCCTCCTGCCAGCACTGCACCTCTTTACTCCAGAGGGTATGCCCGCTGCTTTGTGTAGCACACATCCTGTGGAGGATGGAAGCCCCTGGCAGACAACCTGTGATGTAGTGAAAGAGTTAAACTGTCAAGTTTGTCGCCTCCATTGCAGTACCTTCCCTTGTGCCTGAGATAGATCCTGGCGACCTCTACACTGTACCATACATACTAGGGTGACAACTAAAACTGATTGACAAGTTTCTATGCAAAGTGGACCTACGTACCTTAGTACAGTGGTCCAGATTTTCTTCCATGACTTTCTATTACTTGAGCAGACCATGCTTGACATACTGCGCACTCCTTTTATTCACTCACCAAGAAATCCGTTGTGTCTGTTTAGAGTGCTTATAGATCCCACCCCAGAGTGCTATAGATCCCACCCCCAGAGTGCTATAGATCCCACCTTGTTATAGTCTATCCCCAGTCTCTCTGTACATACACCTCTATTAGGTCTGCAATTGCCCTCCATAAGTGACTTATGTGGACCGCTGCTGGTAGTAAGTCTATTGAGGTGTTTCTAGTGCAGAATGCCCCACACCCACTAATGTATGGTTCCCAGGTATCAATATGGACTTGTCACCGGTGTGCCCCCTCTCACTGCCCTTTCCGCGGCCATTTACACGCTCCATCAGCCCCACTCTTGTGTGCACACACCCCGGGACCTCTCCCACTCGTCGCAAACAACTACAACAAACTCTCACTCTCTCCTCTCTCTTCTACGGTGTAGAGGAGTCATTCTATACGTACTTCCTTGGGATCTTATAACTATGTGGAAGAGGCATTAGTTTCCACTCCTGAGTATAATAAAAATCCCGCCTCTCCCACTCCTCACAAACAGCTACAAACTTTCCCTCTCTTCTTTGTGTATACAATTCCCATATTATATTCCCAGTGTTTTGCTGAAGCTGTGTTTTGCGTGACTGTATATATATATTGCATCCAGTATACTGTAGAGATCCATAATATTTGCATGAAAAAATTTCATTTCCACTCATAAATGTATGTGCAATCTCGCAACATAATACGGGGAGTCTGGAATGTAGAGGCTCCTAGGCATACAAGGAAATTGAAAGAATAGAGATCAAAGGAAAGTATGCATACTGAAGTCCAACACCATTTCTCTGTTCAATAATGTCTGTATTGCATTCCTCTGCACGCGGTGCATTGCGGGTTTCAAGTAAAGAATTGTGATACCTCTGTGTCCAGCTGTATCACTTACCGTTCATGTAAATATTTGTCTTGCTACGCAGATAGCTATTTATGTGTGGGTATGTACATACATATTATACAACAATGCATGAATCGGAAACGCAAGTTATGCGGGAGTGGGGGTGCTAATCACATTCACAGCGGTCATCAGCTGAACCGTGAATAACGTTAACTCTCTTCTGCCGCAGTAACCGCAATTGTACCAAAGAGCCTGCGGTGAGTGAATTCAGTGAGCTAATTAATCACCTACGGAGAGGGGCATTGGCCGGGGGGAAAAACACGTTGTTTGTATGTAGCGTTGCTATGAGAGATCCTGGAGATATCTCCTGTGAGAAAAATGTGTGGACAAATAATCATGACATATTAGCTTCAGATGCCAAATTGGCCCTGGGCTACTCTCTTTAAGAGATTCCTTTTGAAATGCATTGTTTGCTCTGTTACCTCCAAGTGTCCAAGCTAAAAGCTATTTGTACACTAAGGGTTCATAGTTGAGTTGTATGCACCTGCAGACTGAGGTGCAGTGTAATATGATCATTCAGTGCAGTGACCTAGGGTCTAGTGTTACTGGGATTTCTGTTGTTGTGAAGTGTGCCTCTGTTTAGGCAAGGCTGCATGTAGGGCTGCAAATTGACGTTGATTGCTGCGTGACGGAATTTACATCTGTCACTTATTATTCCCCCTCCCTCCTTCGCTTGCTCCGTATTCGCCTCCTTTCCCCTCTCCCTCTTACTCCCTCCCTCCTTACCCCTCTCCCTCCCTCCCTCTCTCCTTACCTTTCTCCTCCTACATCCGGCTCCTTTGCTTAGTAATCTACCTCCATTCCTCCCTCCTCCCCTCCGTCCTTCTAGATCAACCCCTAACTCTCATCATTTGGGAGTGTCCCATTCTTCCCAAATCCCAAGCCCAGCCCCTCCTGCCCCGAGAATGCACTGATTATCCCATTTAGTCACAGTACCTCAGGTCCAGCACAGCATGGTGGCCCACATGATGATGGCTTTGCAGTCTCAAGTACGGTGCCTCTTGCAGATGTTTCTTCCAGATACTGTCTTGAATCGAGAGGCAATTAATTTTGACAGCATGTTTAGAATGACATGACTTTGTCATTTCTTTCTATTACACAAATATATATTTTCTACTGCCTCTGTATAGTAACTGTCATTGTGATTGTTTGTCACTGGGTTTGGACACTAGGTGTGTGGGGAGAGTTGGCATGCCATAAAAGACTCTTAACCCACCGCCCCAGTTCTCAAGGCTGGGCACCTGGTGTCCTACCTTGTTGTGTGCAACTGTGTTGTTTGTGTCTGTGTATGTACTTGGGGTGGAGGATGGGGGGTGGAGGATGGGGGGGTGAGGGTGACTTCTGGTTTTCTTTCTTTTCTATTCTCTGTGGCTAGTATGCTATAAATATACTTTTCATGCCATGTTGTATTCCCTGCAAAATGTCGCAAGGGACATGGCTCGATACAAGTTTATGCTGTGGGATGTTGCTGTGACTTTGCATTAACCGCCTCTCGTTGCAGACTCAAGCGAAGTATAACGGACAAGGCTTTAGACTAGCAGTCAACAACTGAGCTTCTGCTTACATGTAGCTACATATACATTTGGTAGATAGTACACCCACCAACAGTCTCGCCTGTTTTACGGGTGTGTTAATAAAGCCTATGACAGATACCTACGTATACCTACATATCTCTCATACAGTACGTATAGACTGTTCTTAAAGGGTCGTGTGGTTGTTTTCGTATTGGGGTGTGTGCAAGAGACAAATCTGTTTCCATTAATTCTCTTTCCCTCCGGTATGCCGCTATGAACGTCGTTAATTGTCGTCCATGCATGCGTGAACATTGCATGAAAAAACATGTTTATAGCATACTAGCTCAGAGGAAAAGAAAGAACCTCCCCCACCCACATGTACCTATCTGTACATCTTGTCCGTGTGCGCACTACACAAGCCTTGTATTTTGCTACTACATATAATATATGAGACTCGGTAGTTGCTGTTAGACTTGTTCGGAGTAATGCCTGGAGTGTGTATCAGATGGCCCGGTCTACTCTATTGGGATTAGCAGGGGGAGAGTACGGCATGCAACAGATGCCTGCATGTGTGGCACCACCACTACACATGGAACGCACGGAATCCGAGACATTCAATCGTGTGGCTCCGTTTACCCTACAGTCCACCGCGTGTAACGCGAAACATGTGGAGCGAAATTAGACGACATATGGTGGGGATTTGTCGAGCTTGGGTTCCCGTGCACGAGATGGCAAACTGGGATTTCTCAAAAAATACTCCAGTAAGATATTATACGCCAGTCATTTCGACTGAATTTGCTGTACTTGCTGTGTGATTATGGGGAGTACTATACTCCAGTCATGAATAATTATGAAGATGATACGCCAGATGTTTCCACTGAATTCGCTGTGGTGATTTTTGCTAAAGATTGTCAGTGTGAAAGTGTTTTTTTTTACAAGCTGTGTGTGTCTATTCACGAGGGACAGTTCTGACAGGATGTTTGTTAGCGTGATATAATTTGGGGACGGAAGCAAGCCCATCTTGTCATCTGGATTGTGCCCGATTTTTCTGACAACAACGCTGGCACTTGCGACAATGGGATAATGTGCACAATCGAATACGTTGTTGAGTGGTTCAGAGGTTCATGACTGGGAAGAGAGAACCAATGCTGTGGAATGTCTGTGTTCGCTTGCCAGAAATGCATTGCTGCCGTCGTTTTGTTAGTTAGGTTGTTGAGAGATGTGAATTGTTAAGTTAAAACAACAGGCGTAAATATACTGGGTTTACATCCTTCACGGTTGTGCGCTATTACTGTAGCTCTGAGTACAAAGCTTTGTACGGCTTCTCTAGTCCATTAAGTGGGCGAAGATGAAACGAGGTCACTTACAACACCTCCCTGCCAAAAGTTCTGCGTGGGACTTGGAGCCTCTTCCGTTTCACGTCATCAGCCCACTCTCTCACCACTTGGCAGCCGGTTCATCTGATAGAGGCCGCGGCCACTTGCTGCTCTGTTTGTGCCCTAATACCCCAAAGTCCCTTTTCTGGACCACAGCCCTCTTGACGATGTTGCCCCGGTGACACAGCTGTAGCACTATAGGACCTAGTGATGTATTAGTGGTGATTTGACCTTGCTGTGATGGATTACGGCTTGCGTCCGAGTGCCAAGTTTTTAATGGTGGAGCTGGCTGTTGGTTATGTAGCCCTACTTTTACATCAATGGGCGAGATGTATGGATAAGGATGGTGAGACGTATGGATTATGATGATGAGATGTATGGATTAGGATGGATTAGGATGGTGAGATGTATTGGTTGTATAGGATGGTGTTTGGTAACCAATAGAGACTGGGTTGCGTAATGTCATGATTTGACATTTCCTCCTCTGCTTCTTTGCTACCTGTTGATTCTGGGTCGCTGACTTTCATGTAGTACTGTATTAGGTTATTGTGTCTGTGGTGTTTGTGGATGATGTAATCAGTGCCTACATGTCTTCCTTCTCATGCTTCCTGTTCCTGTTGCTCATAGTTACTCGTCAATTATGACAGCTTGAGATCATGGGTGTACATGTATGACAGCTCAATCAGCAGGAAACATCGGTTTGCCATGTTAGCCGAAGAGAGGAAATTTAGTCATTCATATGGCCCACATGATTAGGGGTTGCTTTCTCAAATTTCAAGCTTGGAATAATTCTAGTCTTGACAAGTGGCCCAAATGCCTGCCTGGCCCTTGAACTGCTGCTCCCATAAGTTTGGAGTTTTAAAATGTAGTCAGGAACCTCCTTTGGACCCTGCGACTGCAATGTTGCAAGATTTTATATGGAGGTTTTAATACTAGGCGTTAATACGTTGTATATACGTGGTTTCTGCCTGTATGTTAGTGGCGTGGAAAGGGTTAAAACGGCATCGTGAAAGCTTGCACCGGCAAGTTGCAGAGACGTCGGTTACAAATAGAAAAACCACACAATTCAGAAAACTAGGTTTGTTCACTTCACTTACCAATCAAAGTTGTGCAATTCAGATGATTTGCATAGGATAGAATGCACAATTGTCAAGGGGGCTTCCTCAAATTACAAACTTGGATCGCACGATAATTCTGTGATAACGATACACAGGAGTTTATGTTAGATAAGCTTGTTTGTTTTGTGACTTAATTGTCAGGGGGGCTTCCTCAAATTACAAGGGTAATTAAGACATCCGTAATTGGTTAGGGATGGGCCGCACCTACCTTCCGTGGCATGCCGAGAAATCGAGTCTTGGTGGATTCCTGGTCCCAAATCCCTACCCGCAACTCTTGCAGGCAGCTCGTAATTATGAAATTCACGAAAGTTTGTCTCACTCGAAAATTTAACGGGCACTGCGTATACTGTAATTATGTGTGCAGAAAATTCAACTGCTCGCTTTACTAGCCAAAAAAGCGCTGTTCTAGTTAGTTTATCTAGTAGTAGTGGTGTCAGTGCAAATTGGATTAAGAAAGTGTGTTTCAATCACATTTACCGGCAGCCAGAGCAATGCAAAACATTCCAATTCCCTCCTCCTACTCTCATGTCAATTTATGATTGCAGCTATATAATATTATGGCAATTGTTCTAAGCATTTCCCTCTCTCTCCTTCCATCTTTCCCTTTCTCCCTCCCTCCCTCTCCCCCTCCCTCACTCACCCCACCCTCACAGCTGGCACAAAGCTACCAATAGAAGAAGGAAAACTGACGACCATCGAGATACCAAAGGGGAAGAGGGAACTAGGACTTAGCTACTGTTGGTGCGAAGATGTGGTGAGTAATAAAAATAAGATATTTCCGTGAAACCATGCGTCACCACCTCAGGGTGATGAAGTACTGGTCTTCACTTTTTATGGAAGATATAATCATTGTAAGGACACAAACAAATGGCCGTTATAGAGAGGTAGTGGTCTTCGCTTTTGGGTGGTCCCTATAGAACGGTTTCATGTAGTATTATACTATATATTGCACTTTAAAGAACTTCCTTGTCTACTGCTGAGTGACGTTAGTGGTCTAAGCCAAAACAACGGCCTTTTAATGAGATAGCTGTTTTATTTTCTGAGACAGTGTTGTGACTGGAGGTCGTGTTATGTAAGGCGATTGCGGTCTCTAATTTTGCTTTCTCACCTACTCGTGTATAGCGTGTACATGCCTCCTACGGCTTGTGCTGTGTCGTGTGGGTGTAAATCACACAAAGCAAGTGCATACACGTATGCATTGACCCAGGACGATATTTCTTCAAAGATGAAAGAGGTGCCCTGAGTGGTACCTAGCGAGAGTGCTATAAACCTTATTTATGCAGAACACTCCGTATTAAGTTGGTATTAAAAGAGGTATAAAGTGGTATATACCTATAGCGAGTGTGCTATAAACAAGATGTAAAACACTCCGTATTAAGTTGGTATTAAAAGAGGTATAAAGTGGTATATACCTATAGCGAGAGTGCTATAAACCTTTTTTATGCAGAACACTCCGTATTAAGTTGGTATTAAAAGAGGTATAAAGTGGTATATACCTATAGCGAGAGTGCTATAAACCTTTTTTATGCAGAACACTCCGTATTAAGTTGGTATTAAAAGAGGTATAAAGTGGTATATACCTAGCGAGAGTGCTATAAACTTTTTTATGCAGAACACTCCGTATTAAGTTGGTATTAAAAGAGGTATAAAGTGGTAATACCTAGCGAGTGTGCTATAAACATGTAAAACACTCCGTATTAAGTTGGTATTAAAAGAGGTATAAAGTGGTATCTATCTAGCGAGTGTGCTATAAACAAGATGTAAAACACTCCGTATTAAGTTGGTATTAAAAGAGGTATAAAGTGGTATATATCTAGCGAGTGTGCTATAAACAAGATGTAAAACACTCCGTATTAAGTTGATATTATACAGTGAATGTGGTGTGTAGATGTTTTAGCGCAGGTTTTTCACAAAGTCCAAAAGGTGCGTGTGACATCCATTGGTGTTGGGTATTAGCATTTCGGACAATTGCCTTACAGTAGTGCCTGCTGTGTATAGGCGGTTGGACCACATTTGAATAAACGAGCATGCAGGGGAGGAGCAAATGCACAGAGTTTTGTTTTTCTCAGAAACTGTTTCGTTTTCGGTATATATACCCAAAATATGGTACGGAGCATTTGTTTTGTGTTTCTATTTCCGTTCCTGTCGTGACTGAACGATCTGAAAAAAACATGTTTACCTAACCTGTCATGCAAGTGTGCAGTGCTGTGGCTCGTGCAGTATATATAGAAATGTCCTGGTATACGTGATAACCACATGTAGGTGCCGATAACTAAAGTAATGTTTCAAGGCAGTGGCGGATCTAGGATTTTGAAAGGGGGGGGGGGGGGGATCCGCTGTCCAGAACGTTTTTGACTGCGCTCGCGCACGCGCACGAGGCCGGCGACGTATGCGCGCAAAACAACAAAAAGGGGGGTTCCACGGAACCCAAGGAACCCCCTTGGATCCGCCACTGGAATGAACCATAGAATGGGCACATTTTAACTTGGCTTTAAGCTGAACGTGTATATTGGAAGAAAACGTTGAGACCGACACATACGTTACACCAAGTACTCTGTCCGTCACTGCACTTCGAATCGTTATGTCCCATAATTTAGCTATGTATTTCTGCTGTCTCTGTTGGTATTTCCCACTGGTGTCTGTGTGCTGTTTTAGCTAGTGGAGGAGTGAGAGGGACTAGATACACCGCCCAGCTCTGTGGGATTTCCTACAGGCAACTCACAAGTCAGCATGGTTTGTAGCCTCCCTTCTTAGCCAATGTTTCAGCTAGTGGAGGAGTGAGAGTGACTAGATAAACAGTGGATTCGTTGGGGATTTTAACTTGAATAACTCCTAGGCCTACCCTCACCAGGCGGTGGTCTTTAATGGGGCATTGGGTGTCTCCATGTTTACAAAACAAGCCTCGAATCTGTCTGCGAGGGGCTTCCGACAACGTAGCCAAACAGTGTTTGATGGTCCACTCTGAGAAGGAAGGAGTGTTTGAACAGGTTAGCCAGTGTTGGCAGGAGTCAGGTGTGTGCGTATGGGGGTGGATGGATTAGGCAAAGGCTTGCCCATTACGAATGTATACTCCTCTCATTTGTACTTGATTATGTACAGCTTCGTTTATGGGATGTCGTAGTCTTTTAGTACATTAGTAATGTAAGCGCGTACGAGCTGGCACGGGATTAGGCGATGCTGAGCCAGATGTGTACGTAATTGTGTGTTTGTCTATGGATAGCAAGCCAGACTGCAAGCCATTTGGAACTTGACTGCACGTGTAGCACATTGTCCACATTCATCAAGTGTTGTACAACTGGTGTAGTCTGTGTCTGTTTGACACAGACTACACTATTATACCTGTACACTTCTAAAGGGAAACTAACTTGAATAGATTAACTATTAAAAGGAATATGGTTGTATCTAAGAGCGAAATTGCTTAAAAAAAGTTGCTAAAATGGAAACCTAATTACATTCTTGCACAGGACCATATTATTTTTCCATTCCATCTTTAGTAACATTTATAAATTAACTGACATGTTCCTTTGAAATTTAGTGGAAAAACTCATGTCAATATATTATTGTAAAACTTTCAGCTGAAAGTTTCAAGTTGTACAGTACTGTGTCTTAGGTCAGAGTTTCACGGATCCTTGTGTCTTCTCTCCTCACTGCAGGGTGGTGGGCTTCTAATAGAGGATATATTTACAGAGGGAAACGCATTCTTGGACGGTCGACTCAGCGAAGGTACATACATAGGGACGATGTCATCACGACGTCATTCATTACACATTCATCACACACACGTGCACACGCGCGTGCACACACAGTCTCCCCACTGCTAAATATATCAGTGTAGTGTTACTATTATTATGTGCCATTGCAGGTGACATCATAGTCCAGATCGACCGGCAGGACCTGTCTCACATGACTCTGGCCCAGGCCACTCTGGCTCTCGGCACGTCCTCTCCTCTCATTAAACTGGGAGTGTACAGACCCTCCGTTGAAGACAGTACGTTCGTTCAACTCCTGCCGAGAATCACACACACACATAGAGTTATGTGTACATATTGGCGAGCAAACTCAGTGGTCTGTACAGTGGGACCTCCGATAAGGGACCCTCCGAGATAGGGACGACCTCTCTACAAATGACACTTGTATCAATCCCATGCTAATACTTTTTGTGTGTTATTTGACCTCCGAGATATGGACTACCTCTCTACAAGGGACAAAATGATTAGTCCCATAGTGTCCCTTGTTCGGAGGTTCCACTGTATTTCAAGTTTTCCCAAACCAGGCCAGCATTTACACATACTGTTACGTTTCTAAATCGCATATCTTGCCATGCATGCCACTCACCGGTTCACTTGCCAACAATTCATCGTAATTACAGTTGTTCATATCTTATTACTTTAAAAGGAGGCTCCCTGGGTTGTTTTGCATAGTTCTACGTTTTGACTACCAGCAAGGTCCATTCTCGACGCTCCAATTTTTTTATAGGTGTAATATAAAATTTTACATGATGAGTTTCTCATCTCATGCAGCCTTTGCGGCCTTGCCACTAGGATTCTTATCACTGTCTTTACCCCTTCTTTCCCTCCCTCCCTCCCTCCCTCCCTCTCCCTCTCTCTCACTGCAGCTGAAACTGATCTAGTGGAATTGGAGAAGATAGAAGGAAAACCACTTGGGCATCCAAATAAGGACATCAAGGTGACCAGCTCACCAGTCAAAATTATGTCTGTTCTAAATAAGTGTCGCGCCTTTCAAATTAACGGTCACACATCAAATGCCTCGGTACAATACTACCATGTCCTTCCCTATAATACTAGTAAGCCGACTGACGTGACTATAAAAGGCCAGGGGACGCATCGAAAACCAAGTCCTATACATTCCTATTAACCACTGTACACAAATGTACACATATTATGTACACCAGTGGTCTCTCACATATAGTATGGCACACGAGGACTGTTTGTAGCTGGAGGGTGCGTGTGGTGTTGCGTCATGTTCAAAGAATGCCTGTCATGTGTATTGGAACGAAGGCAATTTGTAGCCTCATACTTGGCCCGATTAAGGACCCACTGTTTACTCCCAGTCATCCCTTGTCTGCAGTTGGTTTGCTTCTCACGCTTGAGCTCACAGTACGGACCGTATAGCACTGTGTGTAGTGATGATGGCCGTGCATGGTATACCACTGTCTAATTCTGCATGCTCTACATTCTGATCGATTCATTACCCTGGCTTCTTTGAGAATTAAGTAACGCGACGCCGGATGACATGTAGTTCAGTGACTGAGTGTGTTCAACTCTCTCTCTCTCTCTCTCTCTCTCTCTCTCTCTCTCTCTCCAAACTGGGAGGGAATTTCTTTGTGTCTTTCTGTGTATATATATATGTGTGTGGACAGGGGGTTTGTGTTGTGACTGTAGCAGTGAATAACTCTAGCTCTCTCTCTCTCTAGTTTGGCTGCTAGGAATGAAAGCCTCTGGTGTTCTAGCTTGGCCTCAAATTCCTCAAATGCAAAATTCCTCAATGCAACAGACACACAAGCGGCATTCAATTAACCTGAGATACACGCTATAGCCTAACCTCTACATAATTATGAAATGTCTAAATGTCACGTCTCGAGTACCGAACTGCTGGTTCTTTTTGTTCCTTCAAATCAGAGAACGAATACAAGAACGTGTTATTTTACGCTCTGCGCATCCTGCATGTCTGAATGCCCACCCAAAAACAGAGGCTGCAAGACTCCATTTTGCTTACCTGGAGTAACTATACAGCATTCATCATCCTTGCTTCCATAATCAGTAAATGAAGCGAGCTTACTGCGTATTTGGTATGTGATGGCACTGCATGTACCGTAATACCCTCTAAATACGTACGTGCGCAAGAATTGAACTAGCATTCGCTCACCAAAATTGATTGCGGTTCTAGTTTGCCCATCCTCACATTATCTGCAACCTCTCACCCTCACTGCCCCCCACCCGCCCCACTTGCAGGTCTAGACCAGGTATCTACGTCCACTACCTGGTGCCCGGGTCCAGAGCAGAGGAGAACGGTGGAATCAGACCAGGAGACAGAATTCTTGAGGTGAACGGGAAGGACCTGCGAGACTCGACTGTCGACGACGCAGCTGCCTTCATGATGGTGGGTGATGTCATCATTATGTCTCGAGTGGGATTTACGTACGATCTAGTGCAGGCATTTTTTCTAGTTTTGAAATTTGTACGGTTGTGTAACATAATAGCACGAGGTGTAAGTGTTTGTCCGCAAGGGAGCTTGTAAGTGGTTAGTATCTCCGTATTACCCATTTATATTGAGGCTTTTGCGCTATCAAATAACCGTCATGCAGCCCACTAAGTTGTGTAGTTCTCTCTTCTGTCACCCATGAATGGAGATGTTGAAACTGTGTTTGTGTTTGTCCTTCCTTCCCTCCCTCCCTCCCTCCCTCCCTCTCTCCCTCCCTCCCTCCCTCCCTCCCTCTCTCCCTCCCTCTCTCCCTCCCTCCTCTCTCCCTTCCTCTCTCCCTCCCTCCCTCCCTCCCTCCCTCTCTCCCTCCCTCCCTCCTCCTCTCCCTTCCTCTCTCCCTCCCTCCCTCCCTCCCTCTAGGAAACGACTGGAACTCTAAAGTTCTTCATCTCTCGTCAGGACCTGGCCTCCATCCACTCCTCAGCCAGCTCAGAGAGCTCATCCAGCTGTGGCTATCACCCCTCCCCAACCGGCATCTCCCCCTCCACAGGGGGACCCATCTACGATGAAATTGTGGCCCCCAGCGGCTACCAGATTGGAACCCACAAGAGCGTCTCTCTCAAGAAGGTATGTATCTACCACTTTATGTAGCGGTTTATTTTGGTTAGGTGCAAAATTTCTGTTGGAGAGGTTTTGTGTGGAGATAACTAACGTTATCGCTAACCAACCATACTGGATTAACATTTTGTTGAAGTTGCGAAAAGGTATGTGCCTCGAAGAAATATTGGTGCCGGGCAATAGTTGTAGGTATGCTTTAAGTCACTGAACTTGTATCCTTTTCTTTGTCCCTTCTCTCCTTTCCCTTTCTCCTTCTTTTCCTCCTTCTCCCTCCTCCCTCTCTCTCTCTCTCCCTCCTCCCTCTCCTCCCTCTCTCCCTCCTCCCTCTCCTCCCTCTCTCCCTCTCTCCCTCCTTCCTTCTCTCCCTCCTTCTCTCCCCTTCTCCCCAGAAATCAGAGGAGCCATTTGGTATGAACGTAGCCGGGGGTGCAGGGGGTACGGTGGGCGATCTCCCTATCTTCATCTCTGCCATCAAACAAGACAGCGTCGTTGGACGCAGTGGGAAAATACAGGTCAGTAGTATAATAATCAGTCGCCAACAGTTCCACTCAAATTTCCGTTGTGTTACGGATGAAAATGGTCCTGTGTGCCACTGGCTGTCTTTCTGTATGCCATAATTATTAGCTAGCACAAGGAGACACGGACGGCTTCTAACACTTTGCTATACTTACAGTACATGCATGGCACAGTACAACAGGGCCTCAGTTAGTATTACAGTCGCAAGTCCAGAGCCAGACTTGTACATACGAACCGTGCTTTCCACATACGTACTAGTGTATGTTTATGCTCTGATTCAAGTTGCTGTGTACATATAGCCCTAGCCCTAGCCCTATTTATTTCTCTATCTATCTATCTATATATACCTATGGCTGGTATGCTATGAACTATAATTTCATACATACAATGTTCAAAGATTAATATTTTTGTCCCCCGCAGAGAGGAGACATTTTGCTGTCCATCAACGACCGGACTCTGGTGGGGAAGACACACGGGGAGGCCATCGAGAGTGTGAGGGGGTTAATCGGGTGTAAGGTGGTGAGGATGGAGTTAATCCAGGGGGAGGACACGGACATCAACGGAGGTCTCTCTCCCGACTGGGGCAAGTGGCTGAGAAAGTGGGAGATGTCCAGGAGAAGGTCAGTTACCTAACAAAACACTCTCTTATCATCAATCACCTTTTGCTACCACAGTCTAACTAACACTTTCCCAAATTGCAACTTTTCTAGATAATGTGACAGTAGGTAGGGGCTAAATTTATAAACGTTACTAATAACAATAGGGCCGAGTGCAAGAATGCAATGTTGTTTCCAAAGTTTGACTCTCATCAACAGTCTCTCTAGTTACAACTAGCAGCATGTGCTAAGGGCTAAAACAAAAGTTATCGCAAGAAATACTTTCATGATTTCACCTTGGATATTTCGTAATTGTAGTTATACTGCATTGTTATTGGGAACATTTGAAGGAGTAGATATTAAGTGTTCTCTCCCCTCATTCCCCTCTCTTTAGTCCAATGGAGTTCTCGGTGACTCTCAAGAAGGTCGGCCAGAAGAGTCTGGGGTTCAGTGTAGTTGGGGGCCGAAATTCCACGAGGGGCCACTCCCCCCTGTTCATCCGGAGCATTGCTCCCAACAGTCTGGCCTCGGAGGACGGGAGGTTACACTCTGGAGACAGAATCACTCAGATCAATGGTGAGAGAGTCTCACCTCTTCATTCTCCGTGTCTGTATAGAGGACCTCCTGTTTATAGATTCCACATGATGTAACACTGGTTCATAATAGTGATATGTATTATGGGTGTTTTTGGACACATTTTTCTAAGGCTCAAATAGGACTTTGTGTGTTTCCAGTAGTTTGTGATTTAAACAGTGTGCGGAATAGTGAAGACTCTTGTGGCAACCGAAATGTACTGTACTGTAACGAAACTGATGCAATTAATGCGTGCAAGGGCTTGTGTCAATGTTATGAACCTGTATTTGTATGCTGGTCATTTGAGGCAGTCTCTGTGTGTTTGTTACATGAACTCTTGGATATGTGGTATAATACCCCTATGTGGCAATTAATTGTGAAACAAAATTAACAGATTCTGTGTCGTGCTCTGTTCTCCTGTAGGCACAGAGGTGTTCAACATGTCACAGGCAGAGGCAGTTCAACTGATCAAGTCGTCCGGAGACACCGTTACACTCTGTGTCATACCTCGAGACCGCCGATAGTCCTCTCCTCGAGTCCTCCTCCTCTCTCCCTCTCACTCTCTCGCCCTCCGTTCCAAAACTGATTCCCCTCTCAAGACATTTTCTCTCTTTCAATACCCTGACACTCACCTTATCCCCCCTCTCTCCTCACAATTGAATTCACCATGTTCTTTCAGTCAACGATTTGCTCCAGTTCTCATTTTCCTAAATCTCACAAACTCCCACTTTTCCTACCACTCGTGATCATGTGAGTCTCACCTGACTCCACTTCACACACCCTCTGCCAATAATGATATCACAGGCCTGGCCGTGCCACCACTGTTTATAAAACTGGCTCTTCTGCTCATTTAGCTCATCAACTGATCATCAACCATCATTTGTCATCTCAACATTCCTCAATGTCAGCCTTTCAACTGTGCCATGTTTTGCCCTTGTACTATGTTTCCCCCCCGTTTTTCTCCTTTTTTTACTTTTATGCATTTGCATTACAATCACAAGGTAAAACAATGTTATTGAAAGAAAGTTATTAACTTGACAACAAGAAAGAGGGAATTTGATTATATACAGTGGAACTCCGCTAATCCGGACAGCAGTGGGAAAAGAAAAGTAATTTTTGTGATGTTTGAACATTTACACGCACGAACTGTGATTTGGTATAGGTGTCCTTAGAGAGGGGTTCGGTCTAGGCCCCAGACCCCACCCCTCTGTGACGGAAAGAGGGTCTTGTAGCTAATCTGGGTTCTGGTGAATAAGCATGTGTACATAAACTGTAACGCAGCATGATGTGCTCGTCTTACATCTCACTTGCGTATGTATGCCTCTCTATATAAGGTCGTGCATGATGCTGTCTATGATCCTATCAACAAAGTCTCTATGGGTAGTTCCTAATGCACCCGAAAGGACTGCTTTCTTCATTTCACGTGCACGACAATCAGATTTGCTTACCCACTTTTCGAAATGGCTGACTCAGCAAAGCAAAGAAATCGCGACGTTTGCTTTTCAATAATGGGAGCACGTAAGAGCATGTGAGGGGTCTGGGAAAAAGACTAAGTCAACAGTAAAAATTGTTAGTCAAAAAGTAAAACTTTTGTGTTCTATTTGTGTTGGAGAAGAGCAGCAGAACGGTTCTGGTAAGCTTCCCACAGCAAACTCGACTCACTGACGGTAAAACTGAGGGTACACTTCTGGTAGTAGTTGGGGTCAAAGGTCTCGATATTAGCGATGATGTCGTGCAATAGGTGGGCCTCCCCCACGCAGGTCTTGGGGGCAGTGTACGACAGTTGTGTGAAGTGTATGTGGAGATGGTAGTAGGACGGTTGGTAGTGGACATAGGCCCTCAACTGGTCACCCGGAATCCCATACTTTTTACCGATTGCCTCCTGAATGGGGGAACAATAACACAAGCATACAAGTATGACTCGGGCTAGGTTCACAATAATTATGTCGCATTGCCCCGTCGCGCCGTGCCGTGTCCTGCCGCGATGATTCTATCCTCGCGACGACGGCACGGTGACGGAGCAATGCGACATGATTATTGTGAACCTAGCCTTAGGCACTTCAATAGAACATAGTTGAAAAATTGGAGTAGAATCGATAGGATCCTCACCAATAATTTCCTTGGCACTGAAACCTTGAAAATCGTGATTTCTTACTCTATGATTATAGAGGCTCTGTGAGAGATTAGGTTTACATAACTAAGTCGTTGTTCTTGTTCCTGTTAACCCTTCAACTCAAGGACACCTCTCTAAAAAGGATACTTGGTTCTGCTCCATTAAACCTCCTTATAAGGGACACCTCTGACTATAGTATGTTCAGGTTGAGAATGCAATTTTCCAAAGGAGGGTTTTTCTAATGTCACGCAAAAACTATACATTGGATTTGTACCAAACCAAGACTAAAGGAACGGGATCTTTAAGAGCTACAAAATGGCACCAACAACAGTGCAATAGAGTATAGGGAAATGAAGTTATTCGAGAAAATCAACATGCATTCTCAAAGTGAACAGACTATAATGTCCCTAAGGTGTCCCTTATTCAGAGGTTTCGCCATATCATAGGCTACTATCGGAGGTGATTAAACCGAGGAACGCAGCACACCTGCCCCTTCTCCAGAACGTTCCTAAGCAGTGGTAGATGGTGACTTGTGAGGTCACGCAGAGAGCCAATGTCCCTCCTGCGGCAGATGGCCAGGAGGTACAGGTTCTCGAGATCTTTCTGATCCCATTTGAAGTCTGGGAGCAACACAAACCCAGTCTCTGGGTCCGAGTCCTGGAATATGATACGATCTTGTTCCTCCCTGCCCTCCAGGATGTTGTATACCCACTGGAGGGAGGGGGAGGAGGAGGGAGGGAAGAAGAAAGGAGGGAGGGAGAAGAGGGAGAGAGGAGGGAGGCATGATGTTGGGAGAGGAGGGAGGGAGGAGGTTGGGAGAGGAGGGAGAGAGAGGAGGAGGGACAGAAGAAGAAAGGTGGGAGGGGAGGAAAAAGGGGGAGGGAGAGAGGAGGAGGGAGGAAAGGAGGGACAATACCTCCCTCCCAACACACACACACACACAACCACACGGAGTGAATGGATAAGGATGAAAATAAAAGGAAATGCTATTCTGAGTCTCAAACTGTACAATGGTAATGATTGTCAGTATAATTTATAACTATTAACTTTGTAATCTTAATAAACCTGAATGTTGAAAGACTGGCTCTCGATAAAAGGTCTGGTGACGGTCTCATAGTCCTGGGGCGTCTCGTGAATGACATGGCGGACCTGCCGAGAGTACTTCCTGAGATGGGCCTCCGTCGCGGGGTAGACTGTGAGCAACTTGAGGCTCCCCACACTACCCCCACACTCCGCCACTACCTGACTGTAGATGTTGTTACTGGTAGCCATCGAGAACTTTGTGTCCGCGTTGAACACTCGGGTGCGTAGGTCGTCCTGTGACAGCGGCCTCTTTTCTGCAATCACCACAGCAGTGAGGGAGGGGTCAGTGCCAGTGGAGGTAAAGTGGCCGGCCATGGATGTGGTCTTGGTGGCCACGTCCTCCGAGAGAACCCTGTCCAGTGAGAAGTGGCGCAGGGGAGGGAGGGAGGGCGGGGTGTCACTTGACATGGTTGAGGATGAGGTGGTGGTGGGCATACACTGCAGTCAGGGGGAGGGTATGAATGGACCCTTTACATATATACCTACCAACCTGCAGATGAACCATTGCTTGAGAAATGTGTCAAATTTGCTTGATTTGGAGTATTTTTGCTTGAAAATGCTGAATGTCCATTCACAATAATTATAATTATATTGGCATAATGCATCACAGGTTAGCACAAAAAAGAGGGATTTGGCGATTTTCTGGTGGGATAGGCAGTACTTTTGCTTGATTATCAAGCAAAAAGCTGGATGATGGTTGGTAGGTATGCCTTTTTTCAAGGGGGTATATATAAATGGACCCCTTTGTGGGTTAGACCATTCTGGTTCTCAGCCCTATCATTCCACACAGTGCTGCAGTGAATAAAGTGTAACTCCTGACAGAAATAAATTGTTGATATTTCACGTCTCCCTTTGTACCAATGGCCTTTTGAAAATTTCTTGGCGATCGTGCATTTATTTGCTAACTCCAATGAATATTTTTCTCTGTACTCAATGCAATTGAACCTCTGAACAAGGGACACTATGGGGCCAACGATTTTGTCCCTTGTAAAGAGGTCATCCCTATCTCAGAGGTCAAATAATACACTAAAGTATTAGCATGGGATTGAAACAAGTGTCCTTTGTAGAGAGGTCGTCCCTATCTCGGAGGGTCCCTTATCGGAGGTTCCACTGTAACACCGTACCATATTTACATAGATGACCGTGGTTTTACTCACATTATCTCCACTTGTTTCCCCCTCACATGGCGACTTGGAGCAATCCTCCTCTTCCGTCCGCGGGACTTTAGCAGGAGGAGGAGGAGCAACACCCTGTCCTTCCTCGCTGCGGTCTCTACCACTCACCTCCACTCGGTCCTGCAGCGACCTCACATCGTACTCTTGTTGTGTGCACATCCCATTCCACACTGTTATATAGCTACTGTGGTTTATCGTCGTCGGGTATATCAGGTCAGAGTGCAATTGAGAGACTACTTGCCACACATGACTTCCAAAAGACAATACATATAAACACACATTTCGCAAGACTCAGTAAAGGAATGGGGAAGGAAGGAGAATAAAAAGGAGGGTAACCCCCTGGCTTTAGTTCAGTGAATACACCCATTTCATCCTGACCGACTCTCATCTGCACTAAATTAGGGTGCATGCGCAAGATAGAGGCTTCTTTTTACTGACAACCGTTAAGTAGAAACACAGAAATGCTACGACCGCCAACATACCTGATTCTTCTGCATTTTCCCGTGTTTTGCAACGATGCTGAGCACGCGCATGCGCACGCACATATCAAAATACATCACGTGCAGTCACATGACTATGCTATTAGTTACATCATAATCATCAAAAGCGACCGCCTACTCTCAACTCACCACACATCACGTCCGCCAGGCGGAGAAGATCGTTACCACGCCGCAGAGAGGCCGACAGTAGTGCCCGAAGACGCAGAGACATTTCTATTTCATTTCCACGGTTCACCAGTCGAGATAGCAACCGCCGGCTGCCTTGTGCCCACGGGTGTGTGTGAATTTACTTCTTCTCGTTTCCCGCCTTTTTTTCTACTCACGAGAGAGCATGTCGGAGGGACATCTGAGCGAAGACATACCAGAGGTACACGGGGAGCGGTGTGAAGTCTGGGAGACCGCTTTAGCGTATGAAAATGCTCATTCACGCGTTCTTTCTCCAATTAGTGCCCACTCTGCTTGGAGCCTTTTGCACTGGACGACATAAACTTCTATCCGTGCGCTTGTCGTTACCAGGTGAGAAGGAGGGAGGGGGAGGAAGGCAAATATAGGAGAGTACTCCTACTAGAATCAAGGGGGGAAGGTAGAAAGAGGGAAGGGAGGTATTCTATACAGTTGAAGTGTAGTGTTTTGGAAGGGAAGAGGAGAAAGAGGGAAGGAGGGACAGATGGAGGGAAGCTTTGGTAATAAAGAGAGAGAGAAGGAGGGATGGATAGAGGGAAGGAAAAGCACAGGGAAGAGAAAAGTGGACCAAATGCTCTAATCATCCATTTGATGCTTATTAGCATATTATGTATGCAGCAAAGCAGTAGGGACAGTATGCATGTGTGCTACAGTGTTTGGGGGGTCCAGTGTATAAATCGTGGTGTGCATACAAGTGGTTGTCATGTTCCCCTGTTGGTACCTGTGTAAAAGTGCATTTGCACTGTGCAGCGGCATAGCTGACTCACATCCATTGCCAGTTCAGTACATACTTGAGGTCAGAGTTCGTTCAGAGAACATACTTCAGTACATTGCATAGGGACGAGACTAAAAGAGTTCTGTGGCACAGAAGCTGTTTTTATCAGCGAGCAAATCAAGCCTACATACATACATAGTCATTTGAAGAACGGGACTAGCAATGTACTGTAGCTTTCATCGGTGAGTGAATCAAGCCCACATTCATTTGAAGTGCATGATTTGTAGATAGACCTGTATAATCAATATTTTTAGTGCCGCTGAAATTTTTCACTCTTGTTCATCTACATATATACCAATATTGCTACTATAGTACTATAATATATACCAATTGTTGGGAGATTGTGTGTTTGTATAGACCTGTGCTCAAGTGATTTCCTCCTGTTATTCTAAACAACTCATAAGCACTCATACGACGTGATTCATGTACAAGAGTATATATTCTTCGCTAAAGTAGAGTGTATATGAACGCTGTCGTGATATTACAGGTCTGCAATGAATATTTAATCGTGTGTGTGTTGTGTGTAGATATGTCGGTTCTGCTGGCATCGGATCAGGACAGATGAGAATGGTCTCTGTCCTCACTGCAGAGAGGTACATAGTGTCTGGGTTGACTCACTGATCATTACTAACTCTTTTGTCTCCATCTTCACCTATTTCCACCTCTCCCTCTTCTTCATCATCATCTCCTTTCTGTTGTTTTTCTC